ACACATTACAGACACGTTCAACTTTCCATCCAGCTCGTTGAACCACCTGTAATCGCCACCATCCNCCATCCCGGAGCTTCAGATCAGCCGGTGAGCTTATCGTAAAACTCGTTATATTATTGCACCTAATCTTCAACAATGCAAGAAATATACCGAATGGGTGAACAAACACCTGTTGTTCTTGCTATACCTCCGAATACTGACTGATTCCTAGAACCGCATAGAACAAACTGCAGATGACCAGAGCGAAATTATCAAACAAGGGTTTAGCTTTCTCTTCCTTCAGTTACTGCATGGATAACTACACATCTTGATCTCACTAATCACTGATCTCCTTACGGTAAACCGTTTGATCACTCACTAAGAGATGACGTCACTTTCAGAAGGCTTCACATTGGACCGAAAATAAGAACATTTTGAATGGAGTATCACATGATAACGAACGTGTCGTTTTAGTGTACCCGTGTGTGCTATACTTATCTAGTGAAATTCGCACGGTGCATCAGCTTAAGATTTACTCCATCAGAACCAAACATATACACTTGGTACAAACTTTCAGGACAACAAATGCACTTGCACGACGCAGTGTTCCATCTGTATCGAATATAACCCGTTTGCTGTAGGTACTGTGAAAGTCACTAGAGAACAATATTCGTTGATCGAACACATACGATATCGTGAGTTTCATCAGATCGTTTCCTCTGAATGCCCCATGGACGGGAACGAATGTGGCATTTCCGCATACCAGACACAAAATACTCATTGTAGTGCCCACTTATTGCTTTCATTAGTACAATGCCTTATAAACTGACGATCTCTTGGTGGCGCATCAGTTCAGCTCAGTTTGCACGGGACGAATATGGCGCTTTCCAACGGAGCGTCGAGTTGGGATACAACCGAACATTAGTTGAAAAAACTTGAATTCATAGTGTCAGATCCGAACAATGTTCGGAGTGCATCGAAAAATCGATGTGCCAGGTGTTTTATACAAGCTCTAATTGTGAAAACAGCGATGTCGGTACAGGTGAAAATAAGCCCACGTTTTGGTTGCCGTGGTTAACATTTATCAAGGCGATTTTACAATCACTTAGGGGAGCCCTTTGGCCTGGAGTCCATCAACTGGTAGTCAGATCGCCAGTGCTAGTTTCCTCCAGTATAACCACACCCTGGCGTCTAACGACCAAGTTCAAGGTAGCTAACTTCTCTGTCTCCAACAGGAAGAATAAGTTCTCAATGGCATGCAAATCCGGTCCGTTAAGGAATGACTGGATAAATTCGATTTTGAACCACCTAAATGTGAGGAAAGTATGAGTATTGGGGTATAAATGGTTTCCACGGCAAACCTCCCGTGACCCATGATAAGGAGCACCATGCTGGAAAAGTTTAATATTTCCAAATGCATTGTGAGTGGCAGTCACCGAAAACCTGTCTGATCAAATCAACAGATTTGGCAGTATCCCGGGTGCCGTTTACTGGAGCCCAACGATAATGAATATTCGGTTCTCAGCGAAATCAATAGGCGGTACTTTCGCTTTTTGTGAACGGGTGGATTGTTTCTTTGGAAAACTAGATCCGCATATGAACTTTCGACGCCTAGTGTCTTGCTCGCCTATCACCAGCCGTCCGGTAGTGCAATGAAGTGGAACATCAAAATCACGGTCGATGCAATCTGAAATCTTGCAAAATCAATGTGCCCTCCTTTGTTTGACATCCGATAACAAATTCAAATAGACTACCCTCAGCGGCAATTCAGTCACCCTTCCGAACGGCGGTATATGTTAATTGCCGCAAGTTCGGCCGGACTATCCTCGATGAGTTCTTCGCAGTCCTTGCGGGTGTAACCGTATCGAATCATCCTCTTGTCTCTATGCGGTCAGGTTCCTTCAACTACAAAGTTGTCTCGCTGGAGAAATCCCCTGGATCATGCAATAAATTGTGCTGATGTTTACATTGATGCACTCGCAGAAGTTTGGGATTTGTGTCCATCTAAACCCTTGCTTCACCGGTATGCCGAAAAAGTTTGGATGTTTCGTCCGGTTTCAGCATAAACAACTTACAAAATGATTATTCAACCTTGAGGACGACCTGTAAAGTTAATGTTCCATATTTCTCGCAACATACTCTCACTTTCTTCAAGTCGAAATTGCACGTACGCAATTTGCAGCTACATAACTTTTCGACTTGCGTGATACACTAGCGTTTGTTGGTGTACTTAATTTGCATCACTTGCCTCCGAATGGTAGCGGGTGGGTGTATCGGATTGCGGCTGGTCACCTCATTCTTTTCACCTCGCAAAATGCTCACATACGACCAAGCATCTCAAATGGCTTCTGCTGAGGAAGCCCTACTCACTACCTTCTCGTGGAGGAAGTTTCCTCACCAAAGTGAGAGGACGAAAAGTCCGTCATCCGTGTCGGTGAACCACTGGCAGTTTACCTGAGGAATTTGGGTAAAAACCCCTTTTGACAACCAAGAGAAGGCGTACGAACCACACACCTTCCCGGTTGTGGCAATGGTCACCGGCTCAATTGGGCATCGAGGGTGTGATCCAATGAACTGGACACCAATCCCCAATGGACTGCGATTTTCACACCGCCCCGCTGCCTTGCGGGTCAGGCTTTGGTTAGCCGAGAGCTCCAGTTGTAAATTCCTTAATAAAATTCACATGCTTTGGCCTTGCCAACCTAGCACTATCACGCCCTCGACCAGATTAGGGACCTTTTGTCTTTTATAAAGATTATTGTACCGCGATTTATTCGGCATAGCCTGAACTCAGATGTGTGAAATATAATATATATATATATATATTTGCACCACCTGAAAAAGATGTGCTATTTGATACGGTATTAAACCAAATGGCTTCTTGTTATGAGCCGTAGCTTCCGAGCTACTACAAATTACATCTGATTACCGAAACCACATTAATTCAAATAAGGATACAAGAAAATCAAGAACATTGTAGTGGAAGATAAAGTGTAGAATAAATGTTATTTACTCATGATCATCAATCTGCATGATATGGGGAACTGAAACATAATGCGGTATTGGGAACTGTATCTCACAAATTCGATAAACACTTGAATAGCATTACGCATTAGTGTTCGAGACTACCTTAGATGCTGGTGTGAGAAAATCTAGAACAAGTGTAAATCAATTCGACTAAAGCCGCCGAAGTAATGTGTTACAAAGATCCGGTCATCTTGCATTTGAACTGTTTTGGAGTTTACAAATACATAGTTTACATAGTAACTGTGCGTCTGTCTCAGGCAAGATGTTCTAGCTAAGTCCCCGTTCTGAATGATCTTGTTCAAAACGACTAGTGTCAGGTCAAGTGCATCCCTCTGGTAGACTACCAAAAGCAACCCATCAACGAAATTTATCAAATCAAAATGAACCAAGAGTAAATAAAAACGTAGATGAACATTGGACAAATTGGTCTATCTGTGATTCTAAACAATATACGTAACGGTCATGTGTACAAGAAACAAAAAGAACAGCAGAAAAAGGGCTACTTTTCTGAAGGAAAAGGTAATAAGCAAGTCATAACAACAGGGATGTTAAGGATCCAGGTTTCTGGAAGCGGAAGGGAAGTGAGATCACACTTCCTGAGGGAATTCCGCATACAGTTTGAATAGAAACCAAAGACAAAAGCTGGACAATAGAAGCTTGACAGATTATCAAATACATTTCAAATTAATGAAAATAATAGATTAGTCGTTGGAAACCAAACGATACAAGAGGGAAAACCGGGGAACTGAAAAATTTTATAGAATGGCAAGAGGACGTAGCCTCAGAAATGGACGTTGATTGGAGAGGCAGTCCAACAGTAGACACAACAATGCATCATCGAAAGATGTTCTTTGTGAAAATGTGGGTTGAGGGGAGAGATTCACAAGGTCAATTACCAACAGTTAAAATGAGAAAGTGGATAAATAACACAGATGCTTGACCAGACAATCATCTTAGCGAATGACTGACAATTACTATTATGATATCGAATGCATTGATTGTAATCGCTTTAAGCCAACTCGATGGAAATGAATGATGTTAAACTGAGTGATAAACGAGGTTACGGGTAATACGGATGGGATCGCGCGCATTCTTCGTATAAAGAACGGAACGTGCATGCCTAGTTAAACACAGAAAAGGTGGATAATAAGTTGCCGAAGTTAAAAAAGAAACCGTCGACTGATCACGTTAGCCACAAAAGTAGAACGAATTGTAGAAATAACGCGGCAATGATAGTTCCATAGTAGGAGGTTTCGTATATAATCGGGAAAACGGTGATCGCTTTCTTTAGAGAAACAAAGGGGAAAAATGAAATATGTACACAATATGAGTAAGATAATAACTCGGTCAGAATTTTTCAGTTATTAAATGTAGCTTTGGACGTCAAAACAAATAATGTTAAAGACACTTCATTAGGGTAATGGGACGAGGCGCATATGCGTTGTATTGCGGTGTTAATCCTTCTTGATTACTGGATATCACAACAACATGGACGACAATGACCACAACACCAAAGGGAATGCTAATGCTAGGACTTCAATTCCGGTGTCTGTGATTGAACTGGTCTCACATTTTGATCAAGAAATGCGAAAACGACGTTTATAGGAGAAAGGGAGAACGCAACATCGGAGAGTTGGTTCATGCTAACCAGAATGAACAATACAGGACACACGACGAAAGAGAAACGCAACATCAGTAAACGAATTTATCATGTCTCTGCTACCAATTTTTTGGAACAAAAAAATGGATCACGCAAACCGGTTGCGAGGCGGAAAGGGAGTGATAATCGGTATTGCACGACCTGATTTGGAGAACAAGAGCTTTCACATTTTCCAGAATCCAATGAAGGAATTTCTGATCGAAAATCGAGCGATCGAGTCAGATCCTTAACGGACCACCACGGTAGACCAAACCGGACGAGACGGAGGTTTGGCATTAAGTCATCAACCTTACCGCTGTTATGGTAATGGTGGGTTAGATGAGACAGTAAATTAAACAAATTCTCGTGGTTTGTTTTGTTGCATAGCCAACAAGGCTTGGGTTGCTTCTTGTTGCTGCTGAAGAACCAGCTGGGATGAATATGCTCTTGGCTGCATGAATCCCACAATCTCTGTGTAGTGGGATGTTTCGTTATTAGGACTTTCATGTAACGGCGGAGATTGTGTGAGACCATCACCGCCACCGCCACCAACTCCACTTCCACCAATATCCAAACCCTGAGGCACCGAGGCGCCAAACGGACGGTTTGGTTGACTGTGACGCGGCCCCGAATTAAACAGAGTCATGGAGGCGGATGGAACACCACCACGTAACGAAGAACAGGTTCGATTGCCAGTCAAACGCGGTCGAGCTTGGTCGAACGCCAATTCCGCATATTGCAACTGCGGATCGTCTGTTTGAGACAGCGCGCGCTCCACGGGACCCCGGCCAATTCCACCGGTTCCTGCGACAACAGCCGCTGCTGCGCTCGCAACAGGAACAGTAGTGGCATCCGGGCTCGGATAAACGGCATCATAGCCGTAGTCAGAATCGAGAACATGTGGACTAGTTTGAACCATATTGGATTCCAATTCGGCTACATTGTTCGGCTGATAAGACCGAAGGCGAGCGGATGGCGGTGGGTCGTGAGCTACTGGAGCTCGAGAAGCCTAAGATGGAAAAGAAACGAAGTATCAACGACGATAATGAAGCGTAGCAACCAACATAATTTTAGGTCATTTATAAAAACTACATCATCGCTTGAAATGACTAGTGCTGATCATCATCTTTGCAAATGGTCGTATTAGAAACATTTAGCCATAAAGCCATGGGGAACGATCAAATGTTGAGGAACTTCCGTGAACGTTCATTAATGTTCGAAAAGATGAAGCAATAGCACAGGGTTGTACTACCTATGTTCGGGGCAGCTTTTTTTGGCATTTCGTCACTTTATCAAATCAATTTTAAAAACAGAATAGCGAAACTTTTCAATGAGAACTCTTCTATCATAAGCGAAGATTGAAAATTACTGAACGGTTACGTTGGTGATTCTGTACTAGCTGGTTCCGAACTGCAGCTTTCTGCATTTACGTATCACATCCTGATCGTCTGTTCGATCAAAACTGGCGATTTGGAAGGAGTATCAATTCCCAGAAAAAGATAACCCACTAGCATGACTGAGTGATGGATTAATTGATTTGGTCATGGGAACAACAATGGCTCCTTTATACATTTACTTTGTTATGATTCTAGAAAAAATACGGGAATTACCGAAACAAAATGATTCGTTGTTTTTTGCATTATTCGATGAATGGCGGCAATTGAGTGAACATAACTTATTTTCCAAAGCGATGCACGGCATGCATTTTCGTTATCCAACTGCTGGAGTCGGATCACAAACGAAGTTATGCGTCTCTCTCTGATGAGTGGACTGTGCTCGCCGATGGCCATGCCAACAAGGATATGCCGTTAAAAACCAATACTGCATGCACCGTACTGCAAAATAACCCACTTGAGTTTGGCTCAACAAGAATGGATTGAGTCAGTAAACCATTTATCGGCAAGAATAAATGAATGCACTTGAAGGGAGGGTGATGGCACGTTGTAAGGAAATTGTGACCACAACTGAGCCTTGAATTTATGGCTGAATATTTACAAGCTTCATTGATCGAAAAACGTTATCCTCGACTTTCGGTGTTCTTGGAAGCAAGAGGCGCCAGTTAGGCCACCATCTAAAAATGCCGTTTCAAAACCGATTTGTATGGATAAATTTAACAAGTTACTTGATGTGATTTTATAAACGCAGAAACGAATGGTTATCGCATCACTTATTGTTCGCGTTATTCTTTGGTTCAATGAAGAAGGCAGTCTAAACAACAGAGCTTACTTATTATTTATTGTATACACTGATGAGGAAATAAACTTGATAAAATTCAATCAAGAGAATCAGTGTGGCTTTTTACAAATCGCTTCGGGTTACTAACTCCTCTTAGGAAAAAACCTAGTTCATTTTTGCACCCAATCTACGAAATGAAGAATTGGAACAATACTCATCAGAACGCATGTATTATTCAGAGAATTCGACTTCCGAAGCTCACGATCAGTATCCGCTGTAGGATAACGGTCACAGAAAAAAGAGGATGATTAGTGGTGACTGCCCCACAAAAAGCTCATTAGGTCACGAAAACAAGTATGCGAAACCTTGGTGAAAATTCAACTATAATGGACGATCCGCGTTTTTTCCCATCACGAAAACTTTCTTTTCATTTTACTTCCTTTTATTGAATGCACAAATGTATCACCACAAGGCAATTGTAGTTCCAGCTACCGAGCTCGAAAGGAAAATTGAGAGGAACTAAAAAATGCGGAAAATCTACATAAAAGCTATTTAGGTCCAACAACTCAAAGCATAGACCGTCTATTTAATATAACTAGAAGGAAAACACGCTCAATCTGAAGGGGTTTAAGTAAGAGTTGCGAAACCCGGGCGGGAGTGAAATAAACCATGAACTAGGGGNGGGTGTGGACGAAAATAGGTTAACATTTTGCGTTACGGTAGATCGGCTAAAAACTCACCTATAAACCCAAACCGAGGAAAAGAAACCTGTTGAATTAACTGGATCCGGAAGACTATCCGCAAGCGAAGATAAAAGAAATCCAGTTTAGGAAAGACGCAAATAGGAAGCAAAAAGTGCAAGAGCTGGGCGAGAACACAACCCTTGTCTAGGAGCATACTGGAATATTAGTTCTCCTTCAGGTACCTGAGTACGCAGACCGGAAGTAGTTGGTGTGCATGTCCACAGATTGATAATAAAGGGATAAGAATTGGGGGTAGGTGTGCCAAAAGTATGTATACAGCAGAAGCACATCCCACGAACTTCCGACCAGGAATATTGAAAGCAATACAGCACATGAGTGCAGGGGAACAATCGGAACGGGCAGTTGAGATGAGAAAAATGAGCGGAATCAAAAGATATCAAACACAGACACACAAGAAATATCACAAAGACCCTCAGGGCAGGTCTGGTTTGAAAGAAAAACAATAACTGGGAACCTAAAATTAAGGCGAAAGTACAACATCAGAAGAAACTACCTTGGTTCTACAAGAAACTAAAAGGACTAAGTTTATCTAAAGCTAAGTATCTCTTTTGTTAGCACTGGGTGATACGAAGAATCTGTTCCGGACTGCTATCAGTTGCTACTTGGACCTGAAGACAGGTACGGAATACCGACAAACAAACGAATTATTAAATCGATCAGCGAGCAACCATGTCAGTGAGTTAGTGTGTGTGGATTTATGGGACGAGCACGACGATTAATAGACAAACGAGACAACAAAGCGCAGCGAGCGAAAAACCGATCACATGCATTTAATACAGGGATACCGCATTACCGAGGGGGTGAAATGAACCAATGGTAGGAGAATGGAATGCCACACCGGAATACAAGACGAAAAGGATTAAGTGAACAACGGCATGGCATGCCACAGAAAATCGAACGAATGTGTTTGAGGAAGTAAAAACGTACCGCGCCCGATTAGGCATTTGCGTAGTGGATAATTGCGTACATGAATGAGTGGGTGAATGAGTGATAACAGTTTGTGGAGGGAAATTAGAGAAAGAAAGCAGGAAGTAGGCATTATCATAAGGTTTTATTGAAATGAGGATAAGGAAAATACTAATCGAGCACACAAACAGGCGTTCTACTGTTAACTAAATACTTTCGCCACTTTCAGAACATCCGCGTGTCTGCAACTAGCTTTCAAGACTGGAATAGACCTAGCGTCTTGTATGACTTTTTAGGTTCCAGCTGACTTGGGGCAGATACGCGCAAGTTCTAAGTCCATGAGAAATTATCATAGCTGGTGTTTAAGCCACGCTTGGGTTAAAGCACACCTTCAAAGACAAATCAGATAGACGAAGAGTATCAGGTGCACAGTCACCTGTTGTGGATTAGTTGATAGGACCCTACAGAACCAAACATTCCAAACTGGTCCTAATCTGGCCGATGTGCAAAAGGTAAGTGAAAAGCGGATGCGTGTATGAAGGAAATGTGATTGAGGAGAATTGTGAGGAAAATAACTGGACTAATTGGACTAACAAAATAAGTAGAACCAGTTAAGAAGATAAAGAAAGTAAGAAATACTTCATGAAGGGGAATGAGCACCATGCACATGTGTATGATTCCATGTGTGACAATGAAATCGTGAAAACAGGCAATAGCGGTACACCATGATCAACATAAAGTGAGACACACGAACAAAACTGGGGGATAAAGTGGGGCACAATGAATAAGTTAAAAAGACAACATGAATCTACTGTGCGAAACAATTTTATGTGAAGAAAGCCCTAGCGGATCTTTTTCGATGAGTGAAAATCTGCAGTCCGTAACATTTGCGAGAACAGATAAGTCAATAACGAAATAATATTGCTAAAGCAAAATGGACTAGTAAGCAGATATTTTAGAGCAGCAAGCTTGGATTAGCCCATTCAATTATTAGGAGGCACCAGGCACTCTAAAAATGATTGACCCATTCGTACAAGATGATGACCGTCGACCGTGTAGTTCAGGGGTAAGGGTTTGAAGTCCCAACCCGAATGTTCGCGGTTCGAGTCCTGACAGGTACACAAGAAGTACGCACTTCTGACGAGTCCCAAACAAGACGAAACAGCTGTCCAGTGCTTTTTGTCGGTTATCACAAACATTTCCATCACATAGTAAGCAGGTAGATTTTAGTTATTTATAGTACAACTTCTGCCCGCGAGATAGACACAGAAGGCTACCGTGTATTTTGCAAGAAATGAAGTCTGGAAGCGTTTCTTCCAAAGGTAAAATGAATTCCAGTTCTTACCCACGAACCTTGAAAACTAGAATGTTTCATCAGCAAGATCCTGTAGGGTGGTGAACTTGAACGGTTCAACTGGGACCGGTAATACACAAAATGTATGGTCCTGAATAAATCACGTTTATTTGATTAAATATACACGTATGTCTATGAACAAGCTAGAGAAGAAAGAACACGGGCTGAAAGTGTTTAGAGTAAGATGCGAAAATGTTAATGTGAGTGTGGGACAGAAAAAACAGATACAAAAAATGGAGTTGCGAAAACGGAAACGCTGTCATGCACGAAGTTAGATTATCCATGTGGCACGAACGATGAAACGGATGTTCCTACACCTTTTGCCATCAAGCTTTAGTCAAAACCCGCAATCCTTTATCCTCGTCTCGTAATCCTTTAGCCAAAACCCACAATCGTTTAGCCAAAACTCGTAGTCCGTTAGCCTCAACGCAAAAAATTTAATCAAGCCACAGTAGGCGAGTCAGATCAAAAAGTATCGAAATATTCTGAGGTCAACAAATGTTGAAAAAATTATTTCCTATAAATTTTGATGTTGCAAAGCTTGGTTAGGACTTAAGGTGTGGGGGTTACATGTTGCAACACGTATGGATTGGAGAAGGTTTAAAAGATATGCCCGTATCGTCAAATTATTTGACACATCTCGTACAGCTTCAGTGTTTCTGTATAACACTCGATACTCGATACTAGGAGTAAAAATCGCAAGTGTAACTCAAACGATACATAGTTTTGCATACGTGCTAATGATAATAAAGCGTTTGTAAAAGTACACCCTCATATGATCAGTTTATTAACGGTGAAACGTATGTCATAATTACCACGGTCGAGGCTAATTTATTACGGGGTTTTATCTATAGCTTCTTGGGAAGCGGTGTTCTAAAGGGGTTTGTGTGAGCAGTGTTTATTATCCTCGACCTAATGTATTCACATGTCAAATAAGAGTTCACTCTAAGTGGATAAACGAAACGGTAAGCACGTAGCTTTCGATTTATTTCGGGGCTTGTGAATGCAAAGCGATATATTGTTTGAGTTTCATTTGAGATTTTTACTCCTAGTATCGAGTATCGAGTGTTATACAGAAACACTGAAGCTGTACGAGATGTGTCAAATAATTTGACGATACGGGCATATCTTTTAAACCTTCTCCAATCCATACGTGTTGCAGCATGTAACCCCCACACCTTAAGTCCTAACCAAGCTTTGCAGCATCAAAATTTATAGGAAATAATTTTTTCAACATTTGTTGACCTCAGAATATTTCGATACTTTTTGATCTGACTCGCCTACTGTGGCTTGATTAAATTTTTTGCGTTGAGGCTAACGGACTACGAGTTTTGGCTAAACGATTGTGGGTTTTGGCTAAAGGATTACGAGACGAGGATAAAGGATTGCGGGTTTTGACTAAAGCTTGATGGCAAAAGGTGTAGAACGAAAGACTGCGAGAAAATATAAACACAACGAAAGTGACTCGGTTCAAGGAAGAATTCAAAAGTGAAATGAGTTTCACCGTAGTCCGTTTGGTCCCTGTAAATCCAAAAACCTGCTTAATGTGGAATAGCATGAGTTTAACATTATTATAAACAGGTTAAGCACACTAGTCAAAAATCAGATCCTCCAAGCGCCTTAAGAAATGTTGGTATGTCAAGCTAACTGCTCTTTCCAGGTGCATGATGCTCAACCATATGCTTTTATCCTTAGAATAATTAGGTATAAGCGGTCTGGAATGGTCGCAGAAAGTAGTGGTAGACATGATATTTGACTTCGCGTATCTAATCAATATTCACCAAACAGAAACCGTTGTGACATCGATAACGAATTCCACTATCAGTCAGCGATCTCAAAGTAATGATTTGGATATAAATCCCCAAATTGGCTAGGAAAATCCGTAGTAATTCCTCCACAACGATGTGAGCATCTTGAACTGCTTGACACAGCTGTGAACCAACTTGTGTACAAGCGATGAAGGATGAAAATGATGGGAACCAAAAATATCCCCAAAAGCAGATTCCCGATAGTTGGTATTGTAAAAATTGACGATGCCTTGGTTTGAAGTAAGCAGCACTGAGGACCTGTTGAAACCACACAATCATGATAACAGACACTTCACACATCAGGTCTATTCGAATTGTGGTTTGATAATCCAGATTTTGATCATTACTTTGTCCATTTCATTATATTTCATTGAAAACTGAGCAAATGGTTTTCTGTTTAACAATATTGGATCATTGTAAGCCAGTTGATTTCAAACTTTAACTCATACAACTATCCATTACAAATATCCCGTCAGTGAATAGCAGGTCTACGTGATTCACAAAATAGGTATTAAAAATAAATACTATTACATTTTCATTGTTGCTGTTGCTTTTTTGGTTGCCGTTTTTTGGTTCGGTCGACCAGAGGAGGAAGGGAATAGTAGTACCACGAATAAAGAACACAACTTGGGAAGGGTGTGGAGCAAGAAGCCTTCAACAAAAGCCGGGTATGCTAACCCTCAGATTAAACAACCATTAAGCATACATTTCCGTGCGACGCTTTTGGTTGCTGTCACCTAAGCGGGAATGAAGAAGTGAAACATTCCCCGTGCATCGGTACAGACATAAAAAAGATCGATATTATTCATAGGCCATAGAAAGGGGCTTCACTAGCATAGCTAGGTTTAAATCTTCAAATCAACAATACAAGAACTACTAAATCCTATGGCCTATACATAATCAGTGTAGTTTAAAATCAGTATGTGGAATGAATGTAGGAAAATTTTGATATTACAGAAACAGGTATGAAACAACCGTAAAATAATGTCACTTGGGACTTGATAGACCAGAGCTGAAGGGAAGATTGAATGAGTACAGGAACAAATGGGCGAATGAGGGAACAAACGAGGTGATAGAAAACGACCACGAGTTGTTCAATAAACAACTCAGGAGGAAGGGAAGCGGGTAGTGACCGCACATAATATTAGGCGAAAGAATGACCGCCTGCATCCAAGTTGGTCGTTGGAAATAACGAATGCAAATCAGTGCCTTGTCCAACTTCCAGGTCAGAGTAGAAAAGTTTCCGAATTGTCCTGTCCTGTGGAATGGACATACTATTGTGGACACACTTAGCAACAACACAAATAAACGAACAACACCGGTTCAAATTGTCGTTATTTGAAAATAAATCCGGAGTTGCAGTATAAGGCATCATGTGATGCACTGCTGCATTTGCTTGCCTGAGACGATATGCAACGAGAGGAAAGATCCTGTGCCCAAAGAAACCAACCGATGTTCTATTTAACAATTTCGTTCCAATTTCCCATTACTGGCGAAATAACTGCTCGCAATCGACAGAGATTAGAAGTCGCTACCGATCCCACTCTAACTTACAAACAAATTAATAACCACGGGGAGGAGTATGAAGATGTAGTTTCAGGCAATGAGCAACAACAGTTGCATTTGTTATTTAGTTAATGGTACCGAGATACGAGAAATTAACCACAAATCTGTTTGGCTGCGAGATACCTGTCAAGAATCAGGCTAGCAGTCAATCGATATGAGATGTACACTTCAGAAGTATGCACTAAGCCAACCGATTCGATAAACAGATTGTGACCGAAACAAGTCAGGACAAGCAGTGTACCCCGGTGTTGAACGATTTTTGTGTTCGTATAGCAAAGCACATTGAAGTGATAATCAGAATGTTTATCTTCTTCATTAAAAAACTGCTCGAAAATTTCAAGACTGAAGTTCAGATGTATGCGAAAGGGTAAGGGAGTTGGAGGACTGAACTATCGAACTATCGTTGTTAAAATTCTTGGAAGCATTAAATATTTATTCAAACTTTATTAGGAACCATTCAATCCCTTACTAATCAAATCAACCGATATAACTCGTGCGGTCAATCTCCAAATTAAACAGAGGTTAAGAGGCTGATCAACATGGCAATGAGAAGATATAATGATGGACAACTAAATATTCAAAAAAACAGTTTAACGGAGTCCCATTTAAGGGTCGGACACTATACGAAGTCGAGGTCCGAAAAATGTTGTCAGATGCCGAATTCAACTCACCTGAATTATGTTCTAATATCCATCNCATCTACATATGATCAAGTAGCATTGTCAACCATTCCATTAGGACTCACGCATGTGTTTCACATGTTGCACGTGATAATATTCATCAGACCAGGTCAAAGTAGGAGCTACTGTGAGCTTCCTTGGATGACGGTGATATTAGAAGTTGAGTGAAAAACATTTATCTGTGAAGCAATCCGTTACCAGCGTATAAAAAAGATATTCCTGAGTGCAGGCATACAGAATCGATGCGAAGTAGATTTTCCAAGGTTTCATAAAATGAAGCTAAGGAGACTTTGAGGTAGAGAAGATATGATTAATGAGCGCTTCGAAGAAAAAACTGGGAAATCTGCTATAAGCAAATGAACTAGGAAAAAATATCTAGAACAAGCTTTTATGAAGGAAAATTCCACTGACGAACACCGGGTAGATCTCTGAACAATAAGTACCAAAAACAGATTTGAGATAGAAAAAAAATATACTAACAAAAGGTGAGGAAAAAGCACATCGACCAGATTTGTAAAAGGACCACTGTGAAGTCTATCCTGATGGCTTATTAAAAGTCTCCACTGCGTGCGGACGCAAGCGGTTAATACAGTAGAGTACTTAGTCACTCAACACCATTTACTTATCCGGTTTGTGTGTGATCGTCCGACGAAAGAAACGAAGCGCATTGGTTGACAGATAACATGTTCCTGGACTATTACAAAAGGTCAACTTATATAATCAAGGACAAACGCCAGAAAGGACGCCGTCCTTATTATCTAGGGTAGTATTGATAGTTAAGCTATACAGATAACCTGAAAAGTTGAGCATAACTGAACCAGTGATAACCAGAACTGGACCGCCTGAGAACTTAAATACTAAGAACTACGCATGAAGCAAACATCTATATTCCAAAAACGAACGCATACAATTAATTTTTTTTAAACAAATGTCTATAATTGAACTCACCTTTGTGTATTGATCTCGAGCATAGGATGCCCTTGGTCTGGAAGGAAAAAATATTGTATTAGTGGAGATCCCAAACCTTCCTCATTGAGTTTCGATCCGAACTAGATATAAATCGTTGCTGTGACATAATGAAAAGATCAGAAGCAGGGAAAAACATAGGCTGTGGTTAAACTGTAATATGCTTGATTCAACAGTGATTATTCGCGGATTGGTCTGAAGTTCACGCCAAATTAGTACATGAGTCGATTGCCACTTCAGGTTGAAGCACAACAAGGCTGCAAGGAGTCCACGGCTATGAGCAAGGAAATAAGTGTATATGGCTGTCTGTCGGGTGACGACAATACTTTGAACAAAAGCGTGCTTCGTATCACATAAGAACACCAAAAAATGTGTGCGCCGCATGCGATAAGCAAACTCGCTCAAACTGGGCACAGTGGGAACGACTGACCTTAGGTTGCGACCGGTCACTATTCCCTTGAATCTCGCAAATATTCCCAAACTACCAAGCGTCTCGAATAACCTCGCCTGAGGAAACCCTACTCTCCCCTCACAAGGAGGCGTTTTCTATCAACGTGAAAGGACGAATGGTCATCGTTCGTCCTTATAACCGGGTCGATGAGCCGTTGGCAGTCTATTCATAGAAGTTGGCAAAAACATTGATATTAAACCGATCAAGGGGGGGAAGGAAGAAGACCTAGACCTCCTTCGTTCGGGTAATTAGCATTCCAAGTCAGTTTTGGGAATTTGAAAGACAATCTAGCGGAGCCTTCTATGGTCTGTCACTCCAAGTCCCGGGGTTTAGATTCCCAGTATCCATAAGTGAATAGCAGAGGCCCCCCCCCTGACCATGGGGATTACCCCGTCTGTTGTTCAGCATACAAGTGTGTAACGAAAAACAGTGGGGTTTAATAATTGTGGTGAGATCCTTAATATTAGAATAACCGAAAAATTTACCATCGTACCAAAAAGGTTATGTAAATGGTTGATTGGAGACACTGAAAGTAACAAGGAACCCATAGTAGTGGTGCTCTTGGTGTCACTTTTTATCAGGCCCGAATGCTTGAAACTGTGTGTGCACAGTTAGATTGTGATGAGCGAAGTTTACCTCACTGGTTTTCCTTGTACTATATTATGATTAATGATAATAATAATAATAATAATAATAATAATAATTCCGCAGAGAACTTTGAGCTTCTCAAGATTGAGGCTCGAACAAAGATTTTCCTTAAAATTGCCATCTTCAGTTGTTGTGTTCCAGTTGATCTTTTGATACAAAATTAACAGTTTTCCGTGGTTTGATAGAAAAACAGTATTCGCCGGATTTAATGGACACTCAGATGCGATTGAGGCTCACTTTTCAAGTGCCTCTGTTTTTTTAGTCCAATAGCGATTATCTCAGATAAAAATGTACAACAGGCACTTCTAACGATACAACTCCAGTATGAAATGACCGGAATGTAAACACGCCTTCAAACACAAATGCATCGCGTTGTTTTTGATGCAAACATATGGTGTTCTTTTTGACAACAAACTCCCCACAGCGTCTCACTTTGGGCAGGAATGATTTATTAAATTAAACGTTTATATGAAATTCACGGTAACGCCAAGAGGCGAAAATTAGAAACCGTGAATCCAACTTCGGTTTAAGTCCCAAAGGAACGGAGGCGAAGAATTCTTCTCTGTAGTAGCGGTAGATGGTCAATGATTTGTTTCCGTATCCCCTTGCTGTGCACCTTCTTCTGGTAACGCTTAGATCTTCAGAAAACAAGTTAACTGGACGACTTAACTGTTGGTCGGAGCATAGTTCGGCGTCAATAACCAGCAGAAATTCATTTCTGACTGATCGTTTATTTGAAGCATACTCATGTATTCAAGCTACACTAATCTGGATGTTTTCCCAAGTAATTATTAGTCATCTTCTTGAAGGAATTACAGCTCTTTATTTCTTCCTTTTACCAACAACATTCACTCCTCACTCGTGATTGTCTTGAAACAGTACTGTGGACACCTAATAGTTCAACAGTAATTGCTTATTGACTTTATGCGTAAAATATACTAACTACCGTGTATCCTTAACTCTTCAGAAGCACCTCCTTGTGGTGCGCGATGCAGGCAATTTTGTCACTGACTAAAGTGCGGTCAAAAGTAAGGGTAATTAACTGTTCTGCTGTTCAATTAAGTTATTACCATGCTTATGAAGTGTCTTACTCAAACAGAATCCTATCAGGGCAGTTTGTACAGTGAAGTTGACATTAGCATGAAATTCTAGGTCATTGGGAATAATCATGACGAAGATATAGATATCCCAATGGAATGAACAAATTGACTAATCTCGTGCTGAAGTCAGCGGTTATTTGCAACTCGGACATAAGATTGACGAACCATGGGTAAACAGATCAATTTCGCTCACCTACGCGGAGGCAGCAGTTTGCCCGTTTTCGACTAATGATTGGATAGAAAATATATATTCGTATTTGCATATCATTTCTTTCTATCGCGTAGGAATGGGGATGTGGGGGAAACAATGGTCGAAATGAGAACGTAGGCAGCACTGCGGTATTTGAGTATGACCTCAAGACCAACAGATTGCTGAACTATACCGCTCGTTACCAAACATTAAGGTAGAACTTTGAGTGCGGTATTTTCCGCAGAGGTGGACCACCGAATTAAAACACAAACAAAGCAAAGTGGATGTAAACATAAGTCCGTAGGAGATTCTCTCATAACTTACTTTTTCGTTCCGTTTGCAGTCAGGCGTTCCCCGTCTGTACCACTAGCACCTTGACGGCGTTTTTGCAAGAGCATCGCAACGATGATAATCACCAAAATTAATAATACGCACGCACACACTCCTAAAGACACGGCCAAACTCTCGTACGAGATCGCTATCAAGTGATGAAAGTGAGAGCGAGGGAAAGACAGAGAAAACAGGAGTCAACCAAAATTCATGGGGAAAAGTAAAAACGAAATTCATGAAAATCAGCTTGGCAAATCGTACATGCATATGCCTACGGACACGGCCCATATTGTATGACACGCAATCTTAACATGCATAACAGCAATTAGAGGTACATTACAAGAGCCGACAAGGTGTAAGTGCAAATCATTTAGGTGGAGTAACATTTGATAAAATCAAGGTCACAAACGTACAGCAATCCCGTTCAGCTGGCACAGTGCACATCACCGGAAAGCACCTTCGCTTCTCCTTCCTCATAACAACAATAATTTCTGCGCTCTTCATGTGCCCATGTACTCTTCATGATGTCAATGTTGTCGACATCCATAAGACTGTTCGTTTATGCTAGTTACGATCAAGATTACCATCAGTGGAGACAACCCAATCCTCGTGGGGGAAAGCGGCATCGATTCACTTCCAGGTGGCAGACTGTTTGATCTAGAGTATGCAGACGATATTGTGCTGCTAAGTGAAGATCCAGGTAAATTACAAGCTTTTCTGGATAGTTTGAGTGTTAGTGTAGTCGTGTTCGGTATGCGCTTTGCACCTTCAAAGTGTGAATGTTACTACAAGACTGGATTTGTCCAGCATCCAGCTGCACTCTAACTGAGGAAGTAATAGAGCAAGTGGATAAGTTCAGTTACTCGGGCAGCTACATCTCACCTGGCGGACACATCACAGATGAAGTCTCGGCGCGCATACAGAAGGCTCGGTTGGCATTTGCCAACCTGGAACATCTGTGACGCTGCCGCGGCATCCGTCTGTCTGTGAAGGGTCGAGTGTATGCTGCAGCAGTTCAACCAGTTTTGCTATACATTGTTTGGGACATGTGTTAAGCAGGTCGCCAAATAGGTTGCCACGGCGAGCGATGCTTGCTGAGGCAGGTGGTGGGTGGAAAAACCGAGGGTGGTCAATCTAAGACCTGGAAAGAGGGTATGAGAACCCTAACCAAGAGGCTCGGTCACACAGGTCCCGTTAGGCTCTGGCTGGGGAACTCGGGAAGATCCTTACCGATGGTTAGAGACACTAAGTGATACGGCTGTCGTAAACAGTGGTGTTCATGCGTCTCAGTTTTTTGCAACCTTAGATCACTGAAATTATCCGTTCTCTGTTCGACTCTACCTTCAACCTTGCTGTTTTTCTCTTACTGATCATCCAAATGGGCAACCAAAAGACAGGAACCAAAACCGGCGCATGAAGGTGCACACCTAATGGTTGTTCAAAGTGAAACTGAATACAGAAAGCTCGGTTGGCATTTGCCGACCTGGGGCATCTGTGGCGCTGCCGTGGCATCCGGCTATCTGTGAAGGGTCAGGTGCATACTGCGACAGGTAAGCCGGTTCTGCTATATAGCACAGAAACTTAGCCATTACAAAAAGAGGATAAAGATAGACTATCAGTGTTTAAAAACTGCTGTGTACGCACTATCCGGTGAAGCAACCAGACAAGCAATGCTGAGGTAAAGCGCAGCCTTTTGTTTATCCGCGGTCGCCCACTGGAACAATTGGTTGACCTACACAGATTACGTTGTTCGGGACGTGTTATGCACCTTACCAAAAAAGTTACTGCGGCGCATAACATTTTCTGAGGTAGGTGTTGGGTGGAAAAAGACAAGGGTGTTCAAAATAAGACCTGGCATGGATGTAGGAAAACCTAACCAGGTTGCGTTCGGTTCATTGGATGGGAACCTCGGGATCAATGGCTAGAGACACTGAGTGATACCACTGAGTAAGGAAAAGTGTCATTCGTGCATCTTCTCGATTGTCCTGAAACCTTAATCCACCGAAATTCTTCATTTCTCTTCCACTCTACCTTCAAAATTTCTTGTTTTTCTCCTACTGATTAGCCAAAAGTCGGCAACCAAAACCGGCGCACAAAAAGGCATGGTTAATGGTTGTACAAAGTGAAACTGAGCCATCCTTGTTATCCCTCAATCGGATGTAATGCTACGTAGTGGTATTTGGTTACCTGATAATGATCGATGGATTAGAATGCCCATGCATACTAACATCAACATAGTATAAATTCACAGTGGATGACTGCACCATAAACTATACTTGTGTCCATGATGCTCAGGAAGATGTGATACAGTCGCCATGACGACACGACCAACAGTGTGAATGCAATGAAAGGACCAATCTCGAATATTCTTTATAAGCGGCAAAAATCACGAAACCGGTTGTATGCTTACAGGGAAATTTTGTGGAGTCATCCACATACTACTTATTATGAAATATATATTTGAGGCGATGCGGGAGCCACAGTAAAAAAATCAGCCATAGTGAGGCAATAATTCTTGTGAGGATCATATTGTGAACTAGGTTGTCAGTCTAATAAGTTTTAGATGTGTTGTCTGTAATGCATGTGAGCTGTAAAATTCTAGGCCTCATAGAGACCGAATTTTACAAGCAGTAAATTTGTAATGCGGATCATTTGAGGCAACCCCAAACGAACGGAGAAAATACCAAGCTCAAAATGAAAGCGGACACTGTTACCGTAATACCGTACGGTGACAGCGTTTTCCGGGACCAGCAATCAACCTAAAATAGTTTCCTGTGACACTGCAAGATTCCATGTGAAGTGTCACTGATGTGGCAAATACCGCATACTATTGTGAGCATCCACGGGGACAGGAGAAAACAAAGCAAAACATGCACGTTCTACAGGATTGTTGGTAACTAAAGAATTGCGAGTTTTTAATAAAGGACTATGGACCAAGGCTAATGAAACGCTAGCTTTGGATAAGGCCTGGTGCGAAAAGGTGTAGGGATGTAAGTAAAAGGGTGCCTCCGAAGTGAAAAATGCAATCAGATGTCTATCGACCTTTCAGTAGTCTCGCTTTTCTCACTTTCATCCAGCAATGAATAATCTACCGCAATCAGCAAGAATCAGCAAGTGTTATTTACAAATATTTATCATAATTGTTAACGTGCCACTTTATGAGAGACATCAACATCTAGTTTTCATGGAATCTGTGATCCAGAAGTGGCGAAATCGGAGTCTGAACGTGACAACTAAGCTATGTGGGATAACTCCACCAACATGCAGACACCGGTGTGTACTGGAAAACAGACAAGATAGGGACGAACGTCCAAAACCCTAGTTATTAATGTGTTCTATTCAACGCTGACTCTATTATAGAAATTAACTGACTTCGTCCCTCTTCACGCTTTCTTCATGCTGGGAACTCTAAGGTAGCAATCACTGCTTAAGCGGCTGCCGTGACTGCGTTAAGCCTCAGGGTAGAATCTGAGCGACCTTCATTCCCATGTGCATTGGAGGATCACACGATTATTTCAACCTTGCGGGGTCTCATCAGTAGTGTGAATACATTGATTCAGAGGAGCGGTGAATGAGTTTTCACGGGTAGAACGTGCACATACCATCCAATCGATCATGGGGCAATTGATGAAACTACTTCCCTTCGACTATAAACGATATTAGTCAGTTACCTGCTAATGCGAGCTACGCGTTGCTAGTGAGATTCAAATTTTTCAGTCCGATTACTCAGACTGATTACTTTGCTCTAGATAGGCGAAATCCATCCCGTGATAGAACCGCACCTTTCGTCTCTCATCAAGATTACGTTAAATATACTCGTCACCAATCAGTTACCGATTATATCATTCGTCTTGGTTTACATGTGGACAATCAATTCAATAACTGGTGAACATGGTATCCCCTTCATACTCGCCCCTCGAACAAGATGAATACAGTATTTTGAATAAGTTGCTGCTAAAATTCTACTTTATTTCTGTGCGCGTCGTGGGACTGGTTGCATTAGAAATGCCAAGGAATAACAAAAATGGCTACAAACAATAGTAGCTCATCACAACAAAATCGAACCTTTAAGAACGAGGTGAAACATCCGATGAAGAAATGAACAGTAACGATTCAATGGCAGAAGGGAGTTACCAAAAGCTCAAATAAGGATCGCGTTTCGCCCGATTCCGTCAAGGGGCAACCGATATGTAATGAGATTATACAATGACGGGTCACTCCGTATTCGCTGATCATGTATACAAACTTTTACGCAGGTAAAGGTACCAAATTAACCGTGCAAAATCGCAGGTAGACGGAAGGGACAGCTAGTCGATATTCATCGTAAAAAGTGCACACCGTAAAATCGTGTTCTGCAGCGAGGTGATGCAAAGTGATAAGTCAAGTTGAGCCAATGGACACCAAGTGATTAGTTGCAATAAAAATGGAATACACGGCAGAATGGTACTGTGCAGTTCCTGTGCATGCAGAGACTGACAAAAAATTTAAACAATTGAACGAATAGCTAGATGAGTTGACAGACACGGAACAAAGACACAAATGAGTGGGATAATTAATACTGGACACCGAACACCTCAAGTAAATGCATGGCCACTGAATGTTCGATGGGCACAACGATATAGATGAGAGCCAGTTAGGATGAGTATTAGAACAATGAACAAATATCACATGCAAAAACATTCACGTGCGAGAAACAGAAGCAAATGGTGTACGATCTAGATGACTTCAATTTCATGAAGCTACGGGAATGCATGCTTATACATCGAGTGAAAACAATAAACAGGTAGAAATCGAAACTCAAAAACCAGCACTTAAGAAAATAAGAAAAGTATAATTTTCATGAATTGGCAATTTGGTTCAGCCAGGGCATGAGCGCAGTGGTAACGCACACGCCTTCCATGCGATGGGTCCGGGGTTCAAATCCCGGACAGGACGGTGGATATGCACTACTGATGAACTCTAATAAGAGCGAAACTCGAGTCGAGTGCCTCTGACTGTATGGTTGAATGGATGAACTGAGGATTGTACGTGAAGGTGAAGTCCGAAGGATAGTCAGTCAAATCAATCA